TATTTTTGGTCCTTTAAGTCCTTAATTTTGGCCAAAATCAGCTGAAGGTCCTTAATTTTAATTATCTGAAATTTCTGTCTGTTTTTCTACGACTGCTATTTTGAGTGTGAATTAGCATTTTGGAGGAATACTTTTGGCAATTCATTGACGTATATATATTTATCTTTTCAAGAGTTATAATTTGTTTCTATTTTGAATATAAATGATGGGATACTCGAGTTTCTAAGCAAGAAGTGAAACATAAGAATTTCGAAATTCATTTTTTCTAATAAAGAGCTCTTAAACAACTTTTCACTTTTGGGGATGTGAATTCTTTTATTAAACGGTTCTAAGTTTGGCGACTTTTCAACATTTTAGCGATTTTAAGATAAGTTTCTATAGAAACTTTTTAATTCCGAGTAATTTTTTTAATTCTGAGAATTTTTCGACAATTTTTTTTTAAAACATCGTAACATTGATTAATTTCATTAAAATAAAACATTTTTATTTTTCGCTGTCATGTTATAATGTTTCATTTTGGCAACTTGTTATACAATACAGTCAAAAGTCATTAATTCGGACACCCATAATCTGGAATGATCTATAATCCGGACCTCAAAGCTACAAACTTTCTGCACATGCATCGCTTTGACGCATGCGCGTAAGACCTTTATGGCTGCGAATATGCATGTGCGCATGCGCGTTTAATGTATAACGGACGGCATAAGCTAAGCTAAAATTACCTAATTATCTATTTCAGTTAATGTTGCAAATTGCGTTGTTCCTTAATCTTCGAATTGGATCCGGCTTATTATTTTTTGCAGACTGTTAGAGCAACTTTATAAAAGTAAGCTTGAACTTCCGATTATGTCAAATAGAATTTCCGATATATATTTACTAATATGTAAAGAACCTACAAAGCGAATGTATGTTTCGAAGTCCATTAAACAAAAGTGAAATTGCTGCAAAAAATGACTTAACTATTCCGAAATCTGTTTATCAATTTCACGCTGCTCTGCGGCGGCGGCGAACACTGCGGCACGCATTGAATTGGAAGTTGATCTGTTAGCACTATCCTTATCTTCAGATGTTTTCAACGCCGCGGCTCGAGTTGATCTGTCAGCACTATCCTTATCTTCAGGGCAGATGTTTTCATTTTATTTGGCTTATAATTCCTTACTAAATATAGTATTTCATCTCGATTCCGTGTCTTTGATATGATTTAAATCAAATTCCTCATCATTATAATTTGCTTCCAATAGTGAAGAAAGTGACACAGAGGTTACTGAGAACGAAAAAATTTCGATTGACAAATTAGTTGGTATTCTCGACACAGCAATTATAGGACTTGAACAGCGGAACTTTGTAACTGAACAAGAAATTATGTCTGTTTATAGAATTAAAGAGAAAGTATTATCACATAAAACGAAACAATTTACATTGAAAGAAATGTTTAATAAAGTAAACAAATAAATATTAAGCTTTTTTTTTTGTAAATTTTGATACCCTTTAGATCATAATTGTTCTTTATTTCATACGGTTTCATATTTTTAATTTTATAATTTCTGCATCCATCTTACCAGATTTAAACTGATGATGTATAATCCGGAAAAATCGATAATCTGGAATCGCCGAAGTTCCGACGAGTCCGGATTAACGACTTGTGACCATATTTGAATCTGAAAAATAAACAAGGTATAATGCTATAAAGTACAATTTACGAAACAGCTCTTAGCAAAAGCAAAATTAGCTATGTAATTGCTAATTTTGCTTAATTATTTGTGAAAATCAATCCACTGCCAGTAGATAAGGCACTTAATACTGCAAGTTGATTTAGGCTGATTTTCTCCACATCAGAACAAATAGTTGCCATTTTACCACATAAAATTTTATCACATATATAGCTATATGTAGTGAGAAAAGACCATGTTGAATCACTTTGTCAAAAAGAAATGATCCTCCAAATTTACAATTTAGGAATGCTGCTCTAGCTTTCTAGCCTGCATTATCACAAAAGACATATTGCAAATTGCTCTGCCAGATGGTAATGGATTTGCCTTCCGTCGATCTTCCCTTTCAATAACTAAAGGTGAATCAGGACACACAAATCCATCATCACTGTTCTCCTAAATAGGCTCAGACTCCAAACTAAAGTATATATATATATATACATATGAATTATTGGTTTACAATATATATAATTAATATATACAAATATTACAAATTAGGTTTAGGTTTGGTTTATTTGATGAGGGCAAAGCACTCGAGCGCTATCTGCCAAAGCAAAGGGATGCCTTTGTGGAGGACTTTCTACGGGAAATAGTGTATTATAATTAGCTTGTATACATGTTATACATGGGGAAAACCATAAAAACGTCCATCCAACTAAACCATTCACAATTAGGTTTAGGAAAATTTAGGCAACAGATAGCAAATAAAATAATAATGATACACTGGTCTTATAAGTATATTACTACAGAAGGATGAGTCATTGTCCAAACTGTTGCTTGCATAGTTGCAGTGTCATTTGCTAAAGCAATAAATGTGAGTACTGTGTGCTGGAGGTTTCACATGAAGAGACTCTACACCTGAGTATAAAATGTTCATGTTCCAGTAAACATTGAATTCAGAGGGGCAAAAATAACCCTTTCATGGTGAATGCTTCAATCACCAACTGGCTCTTTAAGGCTCTGTTCAAGCAGATGTATAAATGTCATAACTGTCAACTAATGGGCGCTTCATAGTCAGACCTTGCTACGTCACAAAAACTGGTTTTGGTATAATATTCAAAGTATTCAACTTTGTGCTGACTTGGTATGAGAGTCGGTCAATCAGAGCATATGCACAAAACCTATTGAGAGAGAAAGCTGTACACACAGCCACATATGCACAAATTTAGCTTCTCTAATTGGCTACGGCTTAGACCCTCTTTCATAGGTGTGAATGGAATTCCCACATTTAATGCCTTATGATTATACCTCTATGACATTTATACCACCATCTGAACGGAGCCTCAGGATGGCATACTAACAGGATGTCTTGTGGATATAAGCAATTTATACTGTTAAGCCTAACTTTGGGAAAAAAGGTCACACGAATTAAATTTGTTGTCTAATTGTTCTAATTATGACAGGAAAACATGGGTAGTAATCAGAATTAATGGAACATTTTATCCTTATATTTTTCTTAAAAAATTCTATAAAATAATAAAATTTTTGGCTTTTCTCAAATAAATATATATGGAAAAAATAGCCACACAATCACAGATTTGATTTTGTTATATTTTATTAACAAAATTAAAATTTTTAAAAATCTCTCTGACAAATGGAAAATAAAACACAAATGAAAACAAAGCAATATTTAAAAAAGAATATTAGACTTCTTGATTATTCCCATCAAAATAATCAAACCCCAAAATATTTTCGTTTGCTTCAGTGTCACGTCTGAAAATTTCACATTTTAAAAAACTAGACAGGACTTAGTAACTCCAAGATGATTATGTGCAAAACTGTTTGTTTTTTTTTTTGCAATGCATTTTATAACATAACTATTTAAAAAAGATTAAAAAAAATCAGTTCATTTAATAGCACTTCTAATATTAATATTTGGTTCTCTTACAAATTCGAAAGGTTTCAAATCTTAAAGTACGTTAGTGGAAAATGTATTTGTTCATTGATACGACCTGCATATGTGATTTCTGTATCTGATAACATGTCCGTATAAGAATCGCTGTAACCACCACTTTCCAGTTCTATAAGAATATCATCACTATCCTTAGTGTCAGAAAATTACTCATTCATCATATATGTAAACTTTTTTTCTGTTAAATAATGTTTTCGTTATTTCCATTTGGAGTACAAAAAATATTTGTTTGAATGACAGCCAGACTCTAAGAGGAATGAATAAAACCTTCGAAACCACAGAACCGTCATATCTCAAGGATAAAAGTTTTGGAATTATCGATAGTTTACATTCTGTATTGTTCAGCGAAAAGATGTATTAGTACAATGTAAGGAAAAAATTTACAATATAAGGAATATGAATTTATATTTAAGATCAGAACCAGTGTGGGAAGATTACTTAGGTAATTCAACTTTATCCTATGTCATAGCCTATTACTGTCTAGCATGCTTGTTTTGGAGATGAGGCAAAAAAACAACCTTTATTTGGCACAGATGTTGAATAAAATTCTATAAATATTAAGGGTGATCTGACTCAAATCTATTTCTTCAACTCCAAGAGTGTGTGGGGGCTTGTCTCTGTCTTCCTCCCACCTTTTCAGCCTAATTGACAATATATATAAAGGCAAATGGAGTCACCGCTGGCTAGCAAAGATGCTGTGCTGCAGGAAGATCCAAGTTAGAAACAAACACTGGTTTTGTGTTAGAGGCTCTTAATTACTCCTAAGACAGCTGTAGGATAATTTATAGTTCCCATCTTTGCATGTTTTGATTGCTGCAATCAATGAAGCTGGAAATCCCATTTCTCTCTTCAATTCACAGAAGTCATATTTACTCTTACGTGATTCTATGGATCTTCTCATAAGTTCATCAGTACTCTTCAGTCAAGGTCAAACCCAGTTAAAATGAAACCGTCTAATTCAAGAAGATAATGCTAGATTTTCCCATAAAAAACACCTATGAATAAAAACAGAGTACAATACACTGCCTTATGTTTTATGTAATTAAAAAAAAAAAATCTTTACACATGATTTTGATATGTGCTGTATAATATTTACATGTTTTTTCATGCAAAATGTCCAAATTTTGAACAAATCAAATTCATTCCCCCTTTTTTTTGATGCAGTTTGATAGCTATCAGTATGTAAACCACAAAATGTGACATCCTAGAAGAAAAACACAAATGATGCCGTACAGAAAAACATATTTACCCCCAAAACTGAAATCTCCAGATCAGAACTGAGAAGAAAAAAAACATAATTTGTTAACCATAATTAAGTAACTATAAGAGTTTCAATATCATACATAGCCAGTAGCTATTTTAGAACTAAATCAACTTACCTCAAGAAAGACTGGTTCGTCTTACGAACGTAAGCTGTAACTTCTGGCATAGAAAAGTCAAACGTTTCCCTTCCAAAACTATGAATGAAAGAAATAAACTGTTATAACAATTTTAAAAATTTATAAATAAATAAATAGCACATAACAATAAGCTCCATATGGCTATTACCCATGTCAGAAAGTGCGACATATATTGCTGTATAACGTTCTGCCCATACCTTGTGTAGCTATTATATCAGAAAGTATGATCACAGTTCAGAAAAATTACAAAATGTGTTATTTATATCTATCTAAAATGGTACATTACATGATTTGTGAAAATAAATAAGAGGGTTCTGCCAATGAAATTCCTTCCAATAAAGAAATGTAGGAATAAAGAAAATACAGTGTTTACAAATGCAGAAATGCAAAAGGAAGTATTTGCAAAATGCAAAAGGAATATTTTTTAAATGTACAGAATTCAGCTGACATATTTTTCAACAGTTAAGCTACATAGGAAGCATGTCAAGTATAGGACCTATGACGACAACAATTATATCGATTTAATTCATCTATGCTCATTAATAAATGAAAAAAAATTGCAATAATCAACACCATGAAAATGTTATTTTCTTTGCTCACTGAAATATTTGCATTCACTGAGTTAGGAAGTATCATTCATATATTCACTGCAAATTAACAATGTTTGCTGCTAATGAACTACAATTATTATACAGTACAAAGTCCGTAATCCGGAATGATTTATAATCTGGATATCAAAGCCACATACTTTTTTTTTTAGTATGCTTTACACATGCACGTAAAGAATGCGCATACATTACACGCCATATATTTCCACAGTTATAACACCTTGGTTCTTTACTCTTATTAGATATAGTACGTGCTTTATTTTGTGTGTTAGTATTTGAATAACCCTTATTCTTCCTATCTGGAATACGGATTTTCTCATAAATTTTTAATTTCTCTTTGAATTCAGAAATAGTTTTACACCCATACAAAATAAATTTTTTACTACTCTAATCAGGTATCTCATTGATTACATAATCAAAAATTGATGAATCATCAACAGAACCATAACTGGCTATTTTACGCATGGTAATTAAATATTCGGAAAGGGATTCACCAGGTTTTAAGTGTCGTTTAAGTCCAAATATAGTCTAAATGAACCACATTTTTTTCTACTTAGCACGATATTACTTGTGTAATCAGAACAGCTTGGCTTAATGATTTGTTTCTCTAATCATTTTCGATATCTGTTTACCAACTTCACGCTGTTCTGCGGGGGGACGGGGGAAACGACGCCGCACGCAGTGAACTGGAAGTTGATTTGTCAGCACTATCCTTATCTTCAGGGCAGATGTTTTTATTTTATTCGGCTTATAATTCCTTACTAAATGTAGTATTTTATCTCGATGTACTCCGTCTTTGATATGATTTAAATCAATTTCCTCATCATTATAAATATCAGGAATACACATCAAATTGTTTTCTGGTTGCAATTTTCTAATTTCGACTATGTGTAATGGATGCTTTACGCATGCGCGCGTTGAAAGAAATGTTTAATGAGTAAACAAATAAATATTAAGCTTTTTTTTGTAAAATTTGATACCCTTTAGATCATAATTGCTCTTTATTTCATAAATTACGGCTTCATATTTTTTAATTGTATAATTTCTGCACGCCATCTTACCAGATTTAAATTGATGATCAATTCGGAAAAACCCCTAATCCGGAATCGCCGAAGTCCCAACGAGTCCGGATTACGGACTTTGTACTGTAATAATAATGTTTTTTACTTTATCTGTGTAGATACACTTTACAACAGGACTGACAATCTGAAATCTGTAATCGGATGGATTTAAAACTTGGATCTGTCTGCAGCAGCCTCTTCTGTTCCATCATCAATTTTAAGATAATTATATGTTGATTTAAACAGGCATTCAATAATTGATTGAAAAAATATTAACAAAAATTACTTATAGCTTGAAGCAATTTAAATAGCAAATCACGCAGTATTGAACACAAACATGAAAAAAGAAAGTTCTCACCTAAAAGATTAGGCCCTTAAAAGTGGAATACATTTTTTAAATGTTGAGTCAATATGAATTCCTTTGAGTTGAATTACTTTAAGTTGAAAAATTCCTTTGAGAATTACATATTTGAATTGTGATTTTTGAAAAACATGTACAAGAACAGAGCTTAGAACTTCTGTTTCCAGAAAGTCTGTTACATAAAATGTGGAAAGCTTCTTATTGGTGGATTGTTGATCAGACCAAGGAAGGGTTCAATTATGAGGCTCTTAGGCATATAGCCTTTATCCCCACATCAAAGAATTATTTTTATCGCCAAAGGGAGGGTTCCGCAAAGAGGTAAAATTTAGTGTCAAAGTTTTAAATTAACAAAAGAGTAACTACCTTCGACAGTGAAAAAAGGTAAAAACACTGAAAGACTTAATTTAGTAATTTTGGTGTCGAAAAAGGGCCAGAATCAACTTTGAGGGGGGTTACTGTTAGTTTTGGTACATTTATCTTTACCATGTTGGCAACACTAAAGTTTCTTCTCTGCATGCGAGCTATGGATGTCGGTGTAATGTTGTGCACATGTTATCAAGTTTCAATAAAAAATGTGAAAAGATACGTTTCTTATTTTTCGACTTGCTTCTTGATATGATATCGGTTTATTTAACATGGTAGCAGAGCGTGGTTTGTGAATATGAATGAAGAATTTAGTAGTTATAATTTGCTTTAAAAGTTACCGGTACTAGCGTAAAAATGGCATGTAAAAGAAGCAGTGATATCGGCATACCGCTATTTTAATTGGAAAGTGCATATGATGAAATTTCTTCAATTTAAAAAATGTAAAGATGTGGTTCAGCAAAAAGTCAGTGAAAATGATGACGTGGAAAAATGGGAAGAAAAGGATATCCAAGCTACAAATTACATTTACGGCGGCATAACAAACAAGCAATTGGAATACATTTACGAGTGTGAGACTGCATTTGATATAATTACGAAATTTGATGCAATGTATTTAAAAACTTCAACATCTCTACAAATTGTTTGTCGAAATAACTTAGAATGTGTGAAACTGAAAAATTATCCTGATGTAAATATATTTTTTGATGATTTTGAGAAGTATGTGAACACAAGCTGAAATATGCCGACGCCACTGTGTTGGAACAAGAAAAATTGAACTATAAGCTAAGAGCATTACCTTCAAATTACAGTCACATTGGTGACTTAATAAAAATTATCCTGATGTAAATAAATTTTTCGATGATTTTGGGAAGTATGTGAACGAGCTGAAATATGCCAGCGCCACCATGACGGAACAAGAAAAATTGAACTATATGCTAAGAGCATTATCTTCAAATTACAGTCACATTGGTGACTTAATAGATGTATTACCAGAGAAGGACAGAACAGTTGATTACCTAAAGAGCAAAATCAAATCAAAATTACTTGAAAAGAAAAATGATTATGAAGATTGTGCACCAGCAGAAAAATCAAATGCGTTCAAAATTGAAACAAGCAAATCGGGTCCACAAGGAAATGTTTGTTATAATTGTTGAAAACCTGGTCACATTAAAAAGAACTGTTGGCATGTCCATCAAAGAAACTATCGTGATAATGGCTCCACTAATTATCGTGGTCGAAGTACTTCAAACAATCAATAACGTAGTCGTGGTTTTAGTACACATCGTGGACGCAGAGCATACTCTAACCACAGAATAAACAGTCATCAAGGAAATGGTTTTCACACTACTGTTATCAAAAGTAACATGTCAAGTTCCAGTGCAAATACAGTACACTCCCGATTATCCACGGAATTGGGTGGCGCGGCCGCCGTGGATAACAAAAATTGCGGATAATCCGAAAAAAGCTAAAAACGGGTATAGCAAAAGTCATTCCAACTTTGAAAAATCGTTTTATGTACAATAAAATGTAAAATAAACATGGAAATGTTTAATTAACGCTTAATAATTTAGTATATCACTCAAAACTAATAGATATGTACTGTTTTAATACTGTAATGTATTATGTAATTACAAAAGCATAACTGTAAAACTATACCTTTTTGAAGAAATCAGTCATTTGTGTTTGCTTCTTGCTTTGGAAGCATTTTCTCTTGATCCGAAATTGCATTTTTTGTAGTGTGTAAGTTTCTCAGCCAACTCCGTGTCGTCTTGTTCTTCCAAATAGCTCAGCAGTTCGTCGACTTGTTGCAAAGCAGCTTCTTGAGTCTTCCGCATCTACACAGTGGGCTCTTCTCTGCCTTCACTTCGCTGTCCTTCATTCTCGGTCTCTCCCCTTGCTTTCTTCACAATTTCGTCATCTGTTAAGCGTTCGAAGCCAGGTTCGTAGATGTCACACTCCAACCACTCGTTAATGTTTTCAGCATCGACGTTCTCACCATCAGGAACTGTTTTCACCATATCGGCAAGAGTTGCCATGGGCGTGTCTACATCTTCATTCCCTTCCTCACAATTCATCATGGAACTTTGGAAATTAATTCTAGTTTTTGCGTAATCGTCAACACAACCTTCTTTCGTTTTCCTGACATTTTAAATCGGTAACGAAAAACACAAAACCAAAATGCACAAGCACTGAACACAATAAAAGATAAGAAATTAACCCCGACCAGTTCGCAAACACTTAACAGGCTTAAACTAACAATGGCGAGTGGGAGGAAGTGGATGTGTGAGTAAGATTAAGACGAGAAAGGGCAGTGCAGCAGGCACTGCAAGGGTGAGTAAGAAATCACTTACTCATCAGAGGAGAAGGTTCCAAGAAGGCCTGGGATATTTTTGCCATAAATAAGCACGATGTTAGCAAATTTAACATTTCGCTCAGTTTTGTGAACATTTTTATTTTCTTTGCTTTATGCTTGTAAAAAAAAAACCCTTTGTGTGGCAGGCGCGGATAATCGGGAGTCTACTGTACTGTGAAAATAAAAATGAAATAAATTGATTACTGGATAGCGGATGCACAGACCACATTATAAACAGTGATGAATATTTCAAAGAGCAAGTCACTTTGAAGGATCCTATTCAAGTAAAAGTCGGTGACGGAAGGATT